ACTGGATATAGTTTTATATTATATAGTAATTGTAGTTTATAAATAATAAATAATATTTTATTAATAAATTAAAGAGTTTAATATACTTTAATATATATCCCTCTGCCAAAAGTATCTGTCACTTTGTAATTAGCAAATAAAATTACATCCTGTAGCTTATATTCAAATTAAGATATCTCACCTTATATCTAACTTAATTTCAAGTTTCTTTTTTTTTCTGAACAGACAAAAATGGTAACTTTTAAAAATCATAAAACTACTTTTTAGTTTTATTTACTGTATTTTATGAAAAATGTCTAAGTCTTGTGAACTCAATATTTTTAAACATAGAATAATTATTGGACTTTACAAATGCAAGTATAATATTACAGACATTCAAAAAATACTCAGAATATCCAGAACTACTTGTACTGTTATTATTAATAAATTCAAAAATGATGGACTCACTGAACCTCTTTCTTGTTTAGAAAGATCACTTCTTTTGACTGATCATGAAGAGTGAACTCTTGTATGAGTAACCAAAGATAATAAAAAAGAGTTGCTTGAAGAAATTATTGAGCTGTTCAACAGCTTAGGTCTTATCCAGATTAGTAAATTTTATTAGAAGTTGTTAATATACTTTCTAAGCAAACTTAATTTGAAGGTTTGATAAAATTTTCAAAATAATGTATATTATCAAAAGTAATAGATATTTTTGGCAGAGAGGTGTAAGCTTCTTGATTATTCTTTATTTATTTATAAGATTTTTTATATTATATATAAAAAAAGAATCTGAAATTTTATATTATTTTTTTATATCTTCTATATATTTTAACTATCTATCATATATTTCTAATAATAAATTTTTAATAATCTTAATTATATAATATTTTAATATTCTATAAAATTTTGTAATATTATAATATTATTTTGAGATGATAGAATATTAATTAATATATAAGATTTCTAATTATAATCTAATTCTAGAATATAATATTATCACAATAATATAAATTTTTTTAATTTTATAATTTTTTAAACTTATAATTTTCAACTAATCAATTGATTTTTAAAAAGTATGTGATTTCAAATAATTTAATTAGTATATTAATTATAAATTTAATTATAATTTATTAATATTTTTGTAATATTTCTGTAATATTTTAGTATTACTTCAAGATTATAAATAAATAATTAGTCTAAAAGTCAATAACAGTTCACAAATAGTTTAATAATAATTTAGAAATACTTCAGAAATAATTTAGTAATAAATTTAATTTATTTTTATTATTTATCTTTTCTTTTTAGAATATTTATTTTATCTTTTTATTTTATTTTATTATTTGTATTATTTTTTAACTTATTATATATATCTTATTTTATTATTTTACTTGTTTATTTATTGATTCTTTATCTCAAAACTTGTAATTATATATTAGAGTAGTAAATAAGTTTAGATAAAAATCTGTAAAATCTTAAAGATGTATAAATATCTCTGCTCTTAGATATAAAATAAATATATTTAAATAGTAATAATTCAATTATTCTTGAAAATACTTGAATTATACTTATCTTATAATTCTTTGATTTTTATCTTGATATTTTACTTTCATTTAACTTTTTTATTATAATATATTATATTCTGATTAATTATATATTTTTCTTGCCTGAAAAATATAGATAGTGAATGTCCTTCACTTAAAATAAGTCAAGTATATTTTATTTAATTTAGAAAATTTTTATAAGCTTTTTCATATATAAAAGCTTTATTTTTGTTTTGGTATATACTCTTTATCTAATAGTTAAAAAGATACTATTAAAGAGTTTAATCAGTATATTAAATCTTTTATTTTAATTATAGTACTTATTATTTAGTTTTTGATATCTTACCCTTAGTTTAGTTTTTGTAATCACAACTTTATTTTTGTTTTATTTCATTTTTATCTTGTGTTAATATAATACTTATAAGTATTAATACTTGAAAAACTTTAGAATAATTGTAATCCTCTTTATCTTTATAAATAATTTAGTCTTCATTTTCAAAACTTATTATAGATTATATCTCTGATAAAATTTATCTTCATGAATATAGTTTGTAATAATATAACTAATAAAAGTATTTTTATTATTATTATAAATAAATTTAGTTGCTATTAGATTTTTATTTTATTTATTTTATTAATATATTATATATATTCTAAGTATTTCTTTTAAAGTTTTATTTAATTTTTCTATTTAATTATCTGATTATAAGTAAAATATTATTAATATAATAGTTTAGTTTCAAGATATTTAAATAATAATTTCTAAAATTTACTTATAAATTTTGTATCTCTATTTGATATAATTATTATAAATAAACTATATAATTTGAAGATATTTCAAAGAATATCTTGGCTATATCAGATATAATTATTGTAATAATTATAAATATAAAATATACTCTCTTAAATAATTTGTTAATAAATATAATTTATATCATATTTAGACTTAATAGTAAATAATTAAACTATAAAATTTATAGTGATATATTTATATATTTAATAAGAAATTAAATTAAAATAAATTTTATTTAATTATATAAATTTATATTTATTTATTAAGATAAAATAAAATTAAAAAAATATAAATAATAAAAAAATATTTTTAAATAATAAATTATTATTATATAAATTATTAATCTATAAATATTTAAAAGAAAATATTTATAATATTTTTAAAAAATACTTATAAATAACTAAATAAATAAATAAATAAATAATTATAAATAATAAAAATAAAAGAATAATATACTAATTATATTAATAAAATAAGAATTCAAAAAATTTTATTAAGAAATTTATTTATAATTTAAATAATTTATTATATTAGATAATTTTTTTTGATATAAATTAAATAATTATAATATAGTAAATTATATATAATATAATATATAGTATAATAATAATCTATAAATTAATATTAATTTTATTATAACTTTTTTATATTAATAAGATTAATAATAATTAAAATATTTTTTATATTAAAAAAATATTAATTTTTTATTAAAATATAAAAATAAATAAATAAATATTAAAATTATAAATTTTTTAATAAATAAAATTTTATTTGAATTAAAATTATATAATATAAAATTTTAAATTATTATTTTTTAATTTGAAAAAATAATAGATATTCAAATTTAGCTTGAATTACTAATAATAAAATAATTTTATATATATTATTATCTTAATTCTAATCTAATTTTAATCTTTTATAAATTAAGTATAAGATTAATAAATATAAAGAGATTGTTATTAATTATATTAGTATATATAATATTTAATAATAATAGATTTCTTTTAAATAACAAGATAAATTTATTATTTTTTTATTCTTTAAGTTTTATCTTTTTAGTTTAGACTTTCTTTGATTTTTTTATTTATTTTATAAGTTATAATATAAAAAATTTTAGTTATTAATTATTAATATAAATAGATATAAAAAGATTTTAGATAAATATAAATAAACTATTTTTTCAAAAATAAACTTTTAATTCTGCTTTATTTAATTAAGTTATTAGATATTGAAATTTATTTAAATATAAAAATTTTTACTAATATAACTTTTTTCAATTATTATTTCTTAAATTTTACTATATAAAATTTAATTAAAATTAATATAAAAATTATATTGTAAATAATTTAATTACTTAACTTTGAATTTTAATATCTTTATAACTACTAATTCAATTTAGAATATACAATTATTGAATCTAGAATAATCTACTTATGTAATTTGAAATTTTAATATTACAAATTAATAGTAATAATATTTAAAATATTTTTTTTAAAAAAAATAATATTATTTTAGTAAAGTAATACTTTATTTATTATTAAATTAAAGTATAAAAAGTTAATTTAAATTACTTTTTTAATATATAAAGATTAGTTAAAATTTGAATAATTTTTGTTAGAAGTATTTATTAATTTTAATATTGAGATATAAATCTTTTTCACTAATTCATATAATTAATATTAAAGATAAAGAAGATAAAGTTATCAAGTTCTAGCAGCTGGAATAAATTCTTAATAATTTTAATAAATTTGCATAGGAATATAAAATATTATTGCAGATTATACTTCTTTATAATATCTAGTATGAGATTTTTATTAGATAGTAATATAAATTTCTTTTGTAAAATTTAATATTAATAATTTTCAAAAGAAATTAATTGAAAATCAGAATTTCATGTCTTGTTTTTATAAGATAATTAATTTATTATTAATCTTCTTTATAATTTAAAAAGATTTGAGTAGAATATATATATATATATCCAAAATATTTTACATGGTAAAATATGATAAAATATTTTGTTTTGAATTATAAAATATATATTAGATAAATATAAATATTAGACATTTAATTCTAACTTTAATACTTGAATTTCTTTTAATATTAAAAGATAGAAACAACTAAATCTGCCTATTCTCAAAGAAATTGATATAAGCTTTATTATTACTAATATTTAGTAAATCATCAATATACCGGTTAAGTTCTAAGTGAAGCATAAGTTTTTTTTTACTTTCTATAAATGTAATTTTTAAATTTTTTCTATTTTTCTTTGTGTTTCTGTTTGAAACATGATCATTCATTTTGACATCAGCTCATACATTTTCTCACTGAAATAATTACATGATGTTTTACACGCAAAATTCCTATTCTTGATTCATCTGGTAACTGACAAAAATTTAAATTTTAAAATCCCACACTTTATTTACTAATTTTATCTGATTTCAGAAAATTCTATTGTAATCGATTTTAAGAAAGAATAAGGTTGGGTTTGAGATTATTATCTATCATCATTTTTAATTAGTGTTCCAGGCTAGGTTAAGCATCTGCTTGCTGTATTTTATACTGGATTTGGTTTCCAAAATTGATCTTTATATACATGCTTATTGGTTGCTGTGAAAAATTCGTGTATTTTTATTAGTTATTGAATAATGGCCTATAGGAAATGCGGAAAATTAATAAATGCAATAATGGAAGATTTAAAATTTAAAATTTTTGTTGAGTCAAGAAACAAAAACAACGCCCGTAAAAATAATTACAAACACTTTAACAAATTCAAATTAATAACTACAGTATTGCCCTCCAATCAAAATGCTGCAACCAAGTGCGATATAAGTATAATAATTTTATTTTAGATTTTATCCATCTCTTGAATATTAGTTTTACAGACAGTTACAAAAAAAGATTGATTTGTATCACCATTTCAAATCGGTAATTTAATAATTTGTCGGAGTGCTGAATTCGTTTCAGACCCAATGTATTAAAAAACTCAATTTAGAGTTGCCAATCATTTGTATTTGGTAGTACAAAATTTTATCTTTACCGTCTTCATTATGACCGCAGCAATAGACTTTTTAAAGCAAACAAAGTAGGGGTTATTTTTATATTGTTTCACAGAACAATGAAATTTTTACAACTTGAAACTAATTATCGTTATTCAAAGGTGCATAATAGTCATAAAAAAGAATTAAGATTCAACTCTATTTACATTACAAGAAGTTCTCGAGAAATTACGCGCTAAAAAATTAACCATATAATTAATTACTAGTTTCATTTTTTCTCTATTTAGATGTGAAGCCACAGCATGTATGCACTGCCCTCTGAATCAACATAATATTAAATACAAATAATATATATAAATACAAAACTAAAAACTGTCTGAGAAAAAAACCAAGATTTTAAAATGAACAATTTCAAAATAATAATAATATTTTCGTTAATATGCACTGTCAATATTTTAGCTCAAAAATCGTATGTAAGACTAGTGTGCTCGTTAATTATAATATTTAATTCTAATTTGAGCATGATGTTTTAGTGCTACAACTACGGCTATCACGACGACGTCGGCTATCATACAATCAACTGGAGGTGGGGATAGCAGCAGCATACCCACCACCACACAATATAATGGAAGTATCGGTAATAATAATGGAAATAATAACGGAGGCGGATTTAAAAAGCCATTTGAAACAGTATCTATTGCTCCCCCGACATTTACAAATCCGAATCAAGGCAACAATCCTACCATTGCTCTAAAACCTATTTCTACTGGGAATGTAGCTGGAGCAGCTGCACCTGCGGCTACAACTACGCAAACCCCGAAAGATATACTTCCCAATTTTCCGCCTCCTACGAGTTCAAGGTAAATCTTATAGCAATTAAAATTAAAATAAAATAATTATCATAATCCATAAACGGAATATTTCTTGAAATATAAACTTTTTAAAAATTAAATGTTCTTTTAATTTAAGTTCGGGAATCAGCGGCAATAATAATAATCAACCAAATTCACCCGCATCAGCTACCAATAGCTATCAGCCAAATTCACAGCAAGTCAATGCCGGAAATAATTTACCTGCAACTGCTAATAGTGTTCAGCCAAATTCACAGCAAGTCAATGCCGGAGATAATTCACCTGCGACTGCTAATAGTGTTCAACCAAATTCACAGCAAGTCAATTCCGGAAATAATTCACCTGCAACTACTAATAGTGTTCAGCCAAATTCACAGCAAGTCAGTGCCGGAAATAATTCACCTGCAGCTACTAATAGTGTTCAGCCAAATTCACAGCAAATCAATGCCGGAAATAACGATAATCCTGCACCGGTAAGTGCTAAGAGTTCGCCTGCATCAGTAAGTGTTGAAAATATAACCACAGTTCCATATCAATCTGTTCAGCAAACCATTAAGACTGAAAGTAAAAATGACAACTCGAATTCTCGGATAAAATCCCAAAAAGAAGGGCCTACACAAACAATTACTGAGAATAATTCACCTAATTTACAGGGAAATCAAAATTCTGTTAAAATTTCACCCAGTACGATCACCTCTGTAAAATATTTTACATCCACTTTAGCAACTTCCGCCACGCTATTAATTACTACCACTGAAAATTCTTCCACGAAAGTAGTTACCACTATTGTGGCTTCATCTAAAGTTGTTGTTTCGTCATCTAAAGTTGTAGTTGTTACAACAAATAATATTTCACCTAATAGCAATGGTCTTATTTCAAGTGCTGATCCATTTCTTCTCATTGATGGAATATTTGAAAATATAATAGTGACTTTATTCATCACTTTCGGCTTAGGCTTGATTTTTATTTGAAAAATAGCTTAAAATAATTAAATTTAATTTATTTATATATAACACTATTAGCAAGCATATATTTAGTCATTAATTAATTTTTTTACAAAAGAATAAATACAATCTCTGATCAAATATAACTGCATAGATCAAAATCCATTATGGAAACAATTATGAAAGAAAAAGAAAAATTTATTTGGTAATTAAATAGGAAAATTTATATGGTATGTGATGAAATGCGTTGGATTCTTAAGTTCGATCTATTGATCATTATTTAATTGATTATTAATTACTTGATAAACAGTTTTTTGGTAAAGTCATTTACAGTCAAACCTCCATAAAAGAGCCCTCCATCTCCCGCTAACACTTTTTTATAAGACCAATTCAATTTATTAGCTGTATAAAAACCTCCATAATAAAACACCTATACAAAATTTGGACGTCCTGATCATGTTCTTTTATGGAGGTTTGACTGTATATTAGGTAAATGAAAATTCGCGTAATAAAACTTTGATTCGCTACATATTTTGCTCAATAATTATATGTTTAAAGAGATTTCTAATTAATTCTGTTTACATTATTAATTTATTTATTTATTTATAACTACAACAACCAATACAAGTAAAGCGGTTATGAAATCAAACTAATTTAACTTAGATGTTTTCAAGTTCAATAATATCTGCTACTTTATCTCTAGAACAAGTTAATTCCGAAACAGTTATAGAACCGATTTTTTGCTGATTGCACCAACCACTTCGGCTTAGCGAGGTTTAACTGTGCATTAGTCACAAAATTCCTCGATCTCGTAATTTTTTAATGAGGGTAAACCAATCAAATCGCAAGATCAAGGTAATGATCGTTCGCATTACGTCTGTTACGAATTCTATTTTGATGTTATCTAAATTATATTTTATTCTTGGGTAATTCTCGCAAACTTTTTCTTCTCTCTTAAACAACAGATATCATAATAATTGAAAAATCTTTAAATGTAAATAATTAAAAAAAATGTATAAACTGTTCTTGCTTAATAAAAAAAGAATATAAATTGCGTACAACTACCTTCTCAAAGTAATCCATTGCTTGCAAAATTCTCTACTAAACTCTGCTCAGAATCACGTACAATTCTTGCCTTTCTGTTAAAAACGTTATATTGTTTGTTGGAATAGGATCTTTTGATCCAGAAAATCTATCAAATAGAAATTGACTTTAATTTGTTAACACACTTATTTGTTAAAGTTTATTCAGAAAAAGCAACCATAAGTTAACAAAAAATACAAAGTATGATTCAAATTACTTATCCTTTTCATTCTCATGTTCATTTTAGTTCAATAATATTCATAAATAACAGCAGAGATATTAAAAACTATAATCATAGATTCCAATATACATTATTAATCCATTCATATAAATATCCTATAGATATATTAATAATTACCGTTATAAATAATGAGAATTGAAATCATATATAACAAAATACGACCATATTCATCATGTGAATTCTAGTTTTAATAATGATTTATTTATTAATATAACAAATAAACAAATTTCTTTAAACAAAAATTTTTTCAAGTTTTATCCTTTTTATCACAAAATAGACAAAATGCCACTATTTCTTATCATGAAAGAGAGAAGTGATAGTACTTTATAAAACGGCTAAAGAGAAAGATTTGAAGTGGAATAACTGATGCAATACTATAATACACTCACTGCACAAAAGTATTGAATCAAATATTGATGTTATACAAAATAGTAAAGATATTGATGTCTTTATCATATAACAAAATGCGAATATACTAATATATATTGCATAAATTTTATATTATTTGAATCAGAAAATCATAAATTTTTTATTGATAATCTTAATATTATATTATATTACCTTTACTTTTAATTACAGCCTGAACTCTTCATGTCATACTTTTCATTAATTTTTCTAAATAACTCATATCTATTTTTACTTATCTTTCTTCAAAGCCATGAATAATTCCTGCTTATTTTTGAAATGAGATTGTCTTTTGTGAACTATTTTTTCTAAATAATTCTAAACATGCTTAATTGAATTAAGACTATAAAAGTGAAGTAATTAATTTTCTTCTTTTTACTGATATACTAATCTTAATCAATAAATTGGGCAATTATTATCCTAAAAAGTATATAAATTTAATTTCAATTCATTCAAAAATAACAGAAAACTATTTCTAAGTAGTTTTATATAGATAGCATTATTTATTTTTTCTTTAATTATGATCAAAGATCCAGTTCTACTATTAATAAAATATTTTCATATCATAACAGTATCTTCTTCATATTTAATAATTAGAATAAGATAATTAATAGTATATTTTTCTTTTGATAATATCAGACTGTTTTTAAGTATTATTTTGAAATAGACAAAAATAAGATTCATTACTCTGAATAATTATTTTAAATTTGATAATCTAATTTTATTTTTCTTTATATAATTCAAAGTATTTTTTCTGATTTTCTTCAGAAATAAAAGATTTTCTTACTCTAACAAGACTGTGAAAATCTAATTTATAAAGATAATAACTATTTTAAAACTGACTAGTATAGTTAATATCTTATTAATTAATTAAGTGAGCTTGCCTAATATAATTCATCTATTTTTTATTATTTTTTTTAATAATTATACTTTATTAAAACTTTTAGTTAATTATTTTAAGATTTAATAGTCATTTATTATTCTTTCTGAAATATGTTAACGACTTAAAAAATCTGTACTTGGATATGATCAAGAGCTTTCATAATCTTACAGATAATTTTCTTGTATTTTCAGTAACTAATAATTTTATTTTATTCAAAATTTGTCAATTTTCAATTTAATAATATTCTTGAAAACTATAAGTAATTACTAAAGTATTAATAGATTACAAGATAAAAAATTTGAATAAGTATTAAGCTTATAATTATTATTTAAAGTTTGTTTATATTATTAATTTTTTTATAATAAATTAGTTAATTTGATACTTTTATCTAATAAGTATATATAAAAATTGTATTTAATTATAATCTTATTAAATAATAAGTAATTATTACTTGATAGAACTTTAATTTTTTAATTAGATAGTTAGATAAAATAAAAAAAGTAATAAAATTTGAATAATTTATATAAATTTAATTATATTATAATAGTAATTATATGATATTATATATATTAATAATATTAATTAAATAAATTAATTATATATATAAGTTAATATTATAATTTATAAAAATCAAACTTATTAATTTATTATATTATTAAAACTTATAATATAATATAAAAAATTAATTTTATTTATTATTATATATTAAGTTAACTAATATTAATTTTATTTATATATATATATATATATATATAATTTAAAATTTTAATTTTAATTTATATTAAATAAATTATAAATATTATATTATTATTACAAATTAAAAATATATAAAATTATATAATTTAATTAGAAGTTTTTATATTTATAAAATTATAATTATAAATTTGAATAAAAAAAGTATTTTATATATTATATATCTCTAAATATAAATAATTTCTAAATATAAATAATTATTTCTTTTTAAGATCTGAGATTCTGAAAATATTATATATAAAATATAATAAATTTATACTTAAATACAAGCAATCCTCCCTTTTTATTTTGCCAAATTTTATATTTTTTGGTTATTTATATTTAAAGTTATATAATATTAATAATATACTTGATATATTATGAAAATATTTTTAAATAAATATATATTTTTATTAAGTATATTAAATTTATATAATAAAAAAATAATAATATTATAAAATATAAAGCTTTAATTTATATATTAAAATAAAATTTAAAATTATTATACAAAAATAATTTTATTTTTAAATAAAATTTAACTATTATTACTTTATACTAGAACTGAATTCTTTTATTAATTAAAAGAAAAATAATAAAAATCTTTAATAATAAAAAATTAAAATTTAAAGAATTATATTATAATATAATTAAAATAAAAGAAATTTTTAAAATATTAAAATAATATATTATAATTATATTTAATTCTAAAACTTTCAAAATATTTAATTAAAAAACAAACTTTTATTAACTTAAAACTTTTTATATATTTAAACTTTACTTTTTAATTTTATTATATTTAAGTTTTTTATTATTTTATTAGTTCAAATAATTCAATTTAAAATTGAATTTATTTATCTAAACAATCTGAAAACTAATATTTTATATAGTATACTTATAAAGTAAAATTATATATTTTATATAGTATACTTATAAAGTAAAATTATATATATCTAGTTAATATAATTTTATATATTATAAAAATATAAAATAATATTTAAAATATTATTCAGATAATTATTATTATAATAATCTAAATTAAATAGTTATAATACTGCTTTATATAATTTCAGAACTAAATAAGATATAGAGATATAATTCAAACTCATTTATTAAATTATATATTTTGATTATATTTGAAATTAAATTTGAAATTTTATATAATTTTAAATTATAACTTCAATTCCAATTTCAAATTATAATTTAATTAATAAGATAATTATTAATATCCTAATTAATTTGATAAAATAAATATAATTTAAAATTATTTTAATTAATATAATTATTTATATAAAGAAATATAAATTTATTAATTATTTTAAGATTTTATTATAGATTTCATAATTTATAATTTTTAATTACTGATTTTTATTAACAATTACTTGATTATAATAGTATTTTTAATAGAAAAATCAAACTAAACTTGAATCAGACTTTTTTATATTCAAATTTAATTTGAATTTAAATCAAATTACTAAAGTAATTCTAAGTAAAGATTTAGTCTGAATTCTAAATTACAACTTTATATAAGATATTATATAATAAAAAATTAAGTTCTTTTAAAATATTTGATATTTAAAATTTAATTATTTTTTATTTAAAGATAGTTTATAATGAAATATTACTATTTATAGAAATATACTATAATAAACTATAATTATTTATATAAAATATTTTAGTTCTATCTATTTAAGTCAAAATTTTGAATAATAAATGTATTTTATATTTATAAGTAAAATTATAGTTCTTATCTAAAGCTGTAATCTTTCTAGTTATATTATAATATATCAGAAAAATTCACACAGAAGATTCAAGATATATAGTGATATTAATTGAAATAAAATTTACACAGAAAACTAATTCAAGACAGACAAGATTATTATGTTTAAAACTTATTCTTTATTATATTATTATCATTATTATTATTAAAAATACAGAATAGAAATAGCATCTTTAAATAATAATTTAACATTATATAAAATTAATAATAAAATAAATAAATTAATAATAGATAATACTTATATGATAATACCTCCAGAAGATGCTTATTAATGAATAAATAAAGAAATAAATAATTATAAATAAAATATAAATTTAGTAATATGCTAACTAAATTAGTAGAACAAGAGAAAAGAGAAATTCTACTAAGAAAACTATCTATAACTAAAATAGCTCAAGTATACTGTGTGACTTTATGAGATAATTTTTGTGATGCAGTATCACATGTGGCACAGTATATGACACAGTAATGATCTGTGAGAGAAAATTAAATTTGTTACAAAAGCTATAATTTTTACTAAGTTATATTATAATAAAATATTATTATAATTCAATACAAAAAATTTGTATCTCAGATAAATATTAATAGATTATTTTTTAAAAATAAAATTTTAATTCTGTCTCATTTAATTAAGTTATTAAATATTGAAATTTATTTAAATGTAAAAATTTTTAATATATTTCTTTTATAAAAAAATTTTTACTAATAATAACTTTTTAAATTAAATTTTAAATTTTACTGTATAAAATTTGATTAAAATTAATATAAAAATTATATAATAAATAACTTAATTACTAAACTTTGAAACTTAATTTTTTTATAACTAGTGATTCAATTTTTATGAATTTAGAACATATATTTATCAAATATAAGGCAACTTGCTTGCATAATTTAAAGTTTTAATATTGCAAATTAATAGTGATAATATTTAAAATGTCTTTTTTTTAAAAAAAATAATTTATTTTAGTTTTTTTAGTAAATTAATGCTTCATTTATTTTTGAATTAAAGTATAATAGAATAATTAAAATAGTATAAAATGTTAACTTAGATCATTTTTTTATTTGATATAAAAAATTATAAAGATTGGTTAAAATTTGGATGGTTTTTATTAGAAGCAATTATTGATTTTTATATTGAGGTACAAATCTTTTTGCACCGGACTATATTTATGGAAATATATTTTGCTTATGATAAAAATATTTTAGTTCTGTCTAATTAAAGTCAAAATTTTGAATAGCAAATGTATTGAGCTACAATTTTCACTATTACACTTATGGTCGATCTTCAAATTTCGAGTTCGAGTCCGATTCGAGTTTGAGCTCGAACCGAACCAGACTCTTTTTCGGAGCGTTAGATTATGAATTATATGCGTTTGAACCCTTATTACATGCCGAAATGTTTGAGATTATGATAAATAAGAAGTGATTTGTTGGGATTTGACCAAGTTCCAAACCCGTAGGTTTGAGTCGCATCCCTAATGAGCTAGTGTTAGTTTACGATACTCACGATTGCAGTAAATGCACTAATGTTAAAAAATATTAACTGCTCTGGACGTTTCAAATATAGCAAACGAATTTATAATTCTAATAAAAGAATATAACGAAATTAATAAGAGTAAATTATTTGAATGAACTCCTTTTTGCAAACGTAGAATATCTTGCAAAAGGAAGTGTGGAACAATTTATAAGCAACATGGACGAATTTACAAATGGAAAATAAATTTCGACAAAGTGGAGAAACTGAAGTTGCGTTGCGTTGAAATCATTGCAAAATAAATTATGCCGGCGCTTATAAAGTGAAAGTTCTTTATGTTTATGTTTGATATAATCAAAAATTTTTTTAATAATTGTTATAATACTTTGATGTCGTTATTGGTTTCTGTTTAAGATATTACGGGATAACTAAAACCCCCCAGTTACGGATGAATATATTAATCCAACTATGAAAGATTGACTTGGAATTATATCCAACAAAAATTCAGAGAAACGTACATCGTGACTTCTATCGTGGAAACATATTAAATGTTGAAATATTATTGGAAATATGTACGTAATGTTGTAGGATAAACCGAAATAGGGGATATCCGGAGATTAATTTATAAATCTCTAGACCAATTACGTACGTCACAAATGACATAATCAAATTTGCACGCGACTGAAACAATTTTGTTGGTGTAGTGTTTATTATTATTGGGAATATTTTTTTAAAAAACTGCGGTTTTCATAACGATCAAAATATTAGGCGCTAATATCAACTTCTATCTTGATTCATTCCGAATTAACACAAGCAACCATTCATTTATGTGCGCGTATGCAATATAATATGACGCTTTGACAAATCAAATGTTACTTTAAATCTAAAGATGACTTAATACATACGTATATAAAGTTTCCAAAAATGGCATTTATTTCCCGTGAAACTACATGAAACGATATGTACATGTACAGTGTCGTGATGCATGTTGAGTATTATGAAAAAATCAAAATTCTAATTCTATTCGTTATTGGCAAACAGTCAAAAAATTAATCTATACATGCACAATAAGTTAAATTTTTATTCACAATTTAATTGATGATATTTACAATTGTTGTAGGAGTAATAGGTTTTGGGTATAAATTTATGCAAAAGGGTGTAACTTCTATTTATCGGCCTGTCCAATAATACCAATCCACTAATCTATAGAGAGAAAGAATTAAACACTGCGAATAATATCGATATACCGCAATTCAGTTTTTGAGATAAATAATACGTACATTCTAAAGTCTTGATCTTTCCATTCACGTGCTTGTGTTGCCTTCTCCCTTTGATATTTTTTTATTTCTTTTATTTTATGTGCAATGACTATTAAACAAGATAAATTAGATTCGTAGAATTGCATAATACGAAGCAACATCTGTCAAAGATACAATAAGATACCTACATGATTTTGCTCCTCCGTTTTCTTCATATCCAACACGTGAATCAGCTAAAAATTCAAGAAAGAAATTTGAATATGTGTAAATGTCGGGTACGAAAAAACATTGATCACTTACTTCCGAAACTTGTTGAATTGATAGGATCAATGAATCGTAAAAGTCGAGATGTATATACTGCCTCCGGATGGATTTTAGTGCTTATTCTTATATCTGGTTGATCGAATTCATTAAATAAATTTCTTGGCACCTGAATATTCTCCTCGGAACCCATTTTTGAACGTACACTCAGTAAACCCTCTAACAGATCTGCTGTTGGTCGTCGAGACGGATCCGAATCCCAGCATCTTTTCATTAAATTACGTAAATGTGCTGGTATATGATCTCCAATTTCCGGTCGGAGACCGTTATAAATGGCTAAATGGAGATGAGGATCGTGTGCACGGTCAACAAATGGTCGTTGATTTGAAAGAAATTCCCACATTATCATGCCAAAACTGTATATATCGGCAGCTTGAGTATGTGCCCCTCCAAGTAAAACCTCAGGCGCTATATATGGCATAACACCATACACCCCTTTAGCTGGTGATTTTTGCGGTTCGATAGGTCTACTTATTCCTACATCACCAATGTAAAAGTTTTTTCCATCTTGCAGTATGTTTCCCGCATGTAGGTTACGATGAACTAGACCTGCTGCATGAACTACTGATAATCCCACTGCTATCTGTTTAAGCGGTTTAATGCCTCCTGGAAGAAATTTTTCATTACATGTTCTTGTGAGACATTTATGCAAGTCACCCTGGTCTGCGTATTGCATAACCATTGCGTACTCTTTGGTAGCTGGATTCTGCGTTATTCCATAACAGCGAAGAACGTGGCGAAGTGAAAAATTTTCAAAATCTTCGCCATCTGGCGCCGTTCGACATAAGGCTTTAAACTAAGAATTCAACAGAAATTAATGGATGAAGATATTGTGAATATTAAATAAAACATACATAGTGTATTCTTACATCGTTGAAAAATTCAGCTTGAATATTTTGTGAGCCACGAAGAGATTTAAGCGCAACTCTTATACCAGACCGTCGTTCCCACATTGGTAAAGATTTATTTGAATGTGAGAAATCTCCAAAAAAAGGTGGACCGTCCCGCGGCCCTTCTTTCCAAGTTGCCATGTATACGTTACTAAACGCTCCCTGGCCGATTTCTTTTATTTCGCTAAATTTGTGATAGGGAATCCATTCTAAGAAAGAAAAGATTGATGGGGCATCTCTTTGAATTTCAAGAATCACTCCATCGATTATTTTATTCCCGCTCGTCCATTTTGGAAAAGCTTTTTGATAACGTTGATACTCGCAACTAGAGCACCAGTAGAAATATGTTCTTTGTTTTTGGCAATGGCCACATGTCCCGTATCCGTCGATCTCTGGCGTTCTTTGATCCCAAGTCATTATGGAAAATGATTAGGGAATTATTCAAATGATTTTGTGTATGTAGATGTGATAAAAATTAAATATTAATGTCTAGAAAATGTTCTATGAAAATCGAGTTAAACGTGAAAATAAAGAGTAACGTTGGTGTTTATATATGGATTTTTTATATAACGATAAATAAAGAAAACGTGGGAATGAATGTTTGTATTTATTCATTAATTTGTATAAGTGAAAAAGATACAATATAATTGGTATCGGTATTGATTATATATTTTTTTTGTTTGTCAGAAAATCAAAACTAGACAAGGAAATCATTTTGAGAATTAGAATGTTATGTATATTACTATTATAAATTAATGTTGTCTTTTTATGTTAACGTGAAACAATTCTTCTATGGCAAAGGTTTTGTGTATCAGAAGTAACATTCGTAATATATTCTCCGAAAATTAATGTTACAAGTTCCTTGCTATTATTCGTCATTTGATTTTATTTCGATTATCCAAAGTTCGTGCCCGTGCGTGCCTATAAATTCATGTACATTTATATCGATATGTATTTCCAGGGCATTTTAGAAAAAGCGAAATTTTTGATCGACGTTTCTAATTGTGCGTTAATTTAATGTGTGTTAATTCGTGTCATCACATGTGTAAAAATAAACTAAAAATAATACATGTATATAAAAAGAGCAGTGGTACAAATAAAGCCTGACGCTTTTTTATTTATTTATTGGATACCCCCCAAGACTAATGAAATTTCAAGTTGATATTTTCGCGAATTGAATGACATTTAAATAGTTTAGTACATACACGTTTTAAAGTGTTACCATTTATTTGTACAGTTCTATTATATGTTACTTGACATAAAACATTATATTCGATCATTTGGGATTTCATGAAAAGAAAAACAAGTACATGTTAAACAAAAATCTAAATGCGGAATTATCATAAGATAAATGAATAAAGTTTTTACTGTGTAATTTATTGTTCCTAACACCCCTACCCATATAGAATTCGTCAACAATATCCAGAAAGCTGAATTATTATTTTTCTGCCTGAAACTATAATTCAATCAAGCGTCGTCGTTAAAAAACGCCAAATTGATATATCGATATTAAAATTCTTGTATACTGGGTTCATTAAATGATAATCATTGTCCATTTTAGTATATTTGAAATTTTATCGTAATTATTATTGTAAACCCCAACCGTGGACCCGTGATTAGCGTATTTGACTGTGAATTCTCCATTTAATTAAAAGAAATGCGATTTTCTATTACCTATTACATGAATGAATAGATTCAACTTTAATCTGGATAACTAAGAATTTCATAAATCTTTAACGTTTCATCTTTAAGAAACGCAATAGCATACATGTATATCAAAGCGCATCAGCTTTTTTCTTGGTTTCAAGTCATACAAATGTAAGCATTTGTATGTATTGTAACATCCGTTATTTTTTTTTTAATTCGTGCATTACATGTACTTATTTTTTTTGTTAGGAGTACAAAGAAACTGCATTTTTTTTATTGAAACAACAACAATACCAAAACTTAAAAGATATTTCGACAACAGCTATTATACATGTATATACCAAAACAGGTCTCTTTTGTCTTGCTTAAAAAAACGAAATCCTTGAGCTTTACAAATGTCATTGGTTCATTATAATCTCAGAAATTGGACACTTGTGCACGCAAAGTTGCATTAGTTAACTCTCTAAGGATTAAGTGGTCCATTTATTGTTCTTTACGTATTTGGGATCATGTAAACATATTAATATTATTTAACTTTAGTTTTTTTTGCTATTAAATTTATTAAAAAAATGTACATTTTCGTGTTAAAAAGCACAAGAGCACACGAACATTAAAAGAATATAAAGAAAAATAAATAATATATACATACATACAAATAAACTATATTAGAATTAATAAAAATAATTATAAGTAGCAAGCTATAACCCCCCCCCCCTTTTTTAAGTCAAATATTTTTATAATTAATTTTGTGTTGGCCACCCTTTTACCACGAAATCAGATCCTTGGACATCTACTGAAAATGGAAAGGACGCATTTTGAGCAAACCACAAATCTACCCTGACTTTAGCGCATGTAGGTGGAAATGTTAAGTAATTTTCCCATTCTAGACTTTTCACGTTTCCACTATGCACCTATTAAATAATAAATTGATCACAATTTATACATATGTGTGTGTGTGTGTGCGTGTGGATAGAACTGGAAAAATAGATAAATACTTACGAAAAGAAATTCTTGTTGTTGGGATAAATCAACTAAATTAACATCTCCATCCCGCGCTGAAATCATTCTCGTCTCGAAATATACACGATTTGGGTCTTGTTTAGCTGGATTATTTGAATTCACAATGATTTCTGCATCCTACGATAATAATAATAAATTATATCTCGATTACAAACGACGACTTGTAAGAAAGAGACAGAGCTCGCAACTTACTATAAATTTTCCTGAAGTTAAAAATTTCCAAGGTGTGTTGCCTTGTTGGCTGCTAATATAACTCGTATTAAAAACGGCAGCGGCGTCATTAAAATCTAGGTTTTTGCATTTTTGTTGATTCACTAAGGCAAGGATCTATATTTCCATGTAAATTGTGATGAATCTTCGTATTAGAAATTAAGCATAGATTCTCTTACATACCGCGATTATGATGATAGAAATAATGAATAAACATATTAAAAAGAATCCGATTTTCAATAAGAGATCTTTAAGTTCTGCTCTTTCATATCCTATTAACGTTAGAAATGAATTAATTTATTAGTAACAAGCTTAAAAAAGTTTCGCATCGATTAATTGATTTTTATTTACTTCTATCTGTATCTGATATTTGTGATCCTTCGCCTTCGCGTGGATCAGAGAAATGCGTAAGACGAGGTGGGTTCAAGATTTCTTTATCGTAAGAGTTAGACGCAAAAAAAAAAAAGTTAAATTAATTGCTCCAAATTTTTTCTTCTGTATATTGCAAGAAAATTCACCTTGTGTTGCATGATTCTGATTCTCTTGTTTATAGTGTAAATTGTATGAATTTGGGTTTGACGCTGCATAGGTATTTAATTAAATTTAAATTAATTTAATTCAAATAAAAAAAGTACATCCATTTAATTTACCATTCTTATATGGGGCTGACGAATAATTTGTATACTGATCTGGTGGATTGTACTGATTTGGTGGATTGTACTGGTTTGGTGGATTATAATAATCTGGTTGTTGTTGTTGCTGATATTGCACGGATTGAGCCAGATTATCTAGACCAAAATTTTTTATATGATAAGAATCCTGTGGATGTAATGGCGGGGGAGGTGGCGGATATGACGGCTCTTCTTTACGTGGTGGTGGATCTTGTTTACGTGATGGCGCATATGCTAGGTAAGGATTTGAATCTTCATTTAAAATGAAATAAATTATCAATTTCACGGTTATTTGTTATTTTTACTTATTCTCGTTCACGTTACTTACTTTCTAAATTAACTATGCTGCTGTTATTATTGTTATTATTGTTCCCTGATATATTTGATATAGATTGACTAAATGGCGATTGATGAATAGCTAAATTGTGAAAAAAAAAAAAATGGAAATAAGCCTTTTTGATGATAATTCAGAATTTCATGCTTACTCACGTGGTTTAGGAGCTGGACGATGTGAACTCGTTGGACTATCGTAATCATAATATTGGGCTTCTTCGCTTCCTATTAAATCGAAAAAAGTCGTTAAACGATTTAAAAAATTCAATCACCATTATTGAATGTTAGGAACATTACCATTAAAAAATATGTTATAAGAATCTTTCTCCGCCATTTACATGTATATTTGTATTTAATAAATTTTTCGGAAAAATAATATGATATTTGCAAATTTTTCAAGAATAAATCTAGGAAACTTTACTACTACAAAATCATCGATTCCAAAAGCAAACGTATATATAAAAATTCCAGGAGACACAATAGGAACTACGCATCCTTGTTGGCGTTGTTTTTTATTTACCATTTTGGGAATTACATTCTGTGTTGGGTCATACGAAATTAGCATTATTTCTATCTACTGAAATTGCTACCATCCTACATGCACCAGACGTTTCATTAGATCGAGTGGACGACCACAATAATGGCTAATAAGTGTTTCACATACACGCACGTAACAGTTTATTAATAAAAGAATCACAGTATTAGTTTTGGAAACATGAAAAAAAAACAATAGAATTTTCTTTTTGACCTTTATTATCATTAATAACCCCAGTTCTAATAAAACTTTTGAAACAGATTTTCTATTGTTTTGCATTTAAAGCCACAGAAATGATGCAAAAAATTATTAAGAAATTACGGAAAAATATTCCAAAAATAGAGTCACAATAACATGTTTTAAGACTGCGACTTTAATTTCTTCTATCGGTAATTACAATGAAATCTAAGACATGTACTTAACAAAGTGACGACGAAAAAGTTCTGTCGCACCTTCAAAGTCACTTTTAATCATGAATCTTATTTTGTGTTAAACGTGTAACGTTACAATTTTTTATCATCCCCCCTTAATTGAATTATAGTAAAACTAAATGACTTCCTGATATACTATTATGAATTAGAGAAATTTTTCCGCTCCCCTCTATAAACATACAATATATTTCAAATGGCATTCATATGTTAACTTCCGCCGGCACGGACAATTCACAGGCCTGTGTCAGTCAACATTTATTGCGATACTTCTAATCCCATCTCATCGCATGTTCCAATCTCAACACCCATATCCCAGCAAATATTCATTGTCAAAAATCTCCCAGATTTATTATCTGAAATCGATGCCTGTAAAAGGTCACTTTTTACATGCGTTTATAGAACATACATGTAGATGTACATGTATATGTATAAACACGTACGTAAATAATTACACGTACATATGTGAATGTATGTAAATGCAGGACAAGCAGATTTCTATATGTCATGAATAATTGATTGTGGTCTTTTACAGACTTATCATGCTTTTCGCAAATTAGAGTGGCACAGTAATACTTGGCTGATTTGGTGATGTTTTTGACGAGTTTATGGTCAAAAGAAAAAATAAAATCCATCAGTCAACTCAACCTTATCTATTTCCTCGACTAACCCTATCTCTATTTCCATATTTGATACGTATATTTTTTGTCTGCACCCATGTTTCAGCAATTTCATATATCAATTTCTAGTACAGTAAAAATTTGACAATTAAATTTAAGGCGGAATTTCGAACCGTCGGGATTGTGCAATTTCATTTGTTTAAAATTATGGGAACTTCTAATCTCTTTGATAGTGTTAATATTTTGACCATTTGTTGACAAAATTGAGCAGTGTTACACTTTATAACCCAATAAACGTTATGAACGGGTAAGTATGTCTGTCCAAGTGATTCATATTTGATTTATTCTATTATAAAAAAATGTCACAAAGAGCTTGGGATACGAAAACCTGATGCAACTTTCACAAATTTTCACCTATGACAAACTGTTCAGGTATGTGAGAAGAATTCAATAGTCATTCATTTGCAAAGACAATTTTAACTCAAGCCTCAGAATCAATACTGTATGTGTAATTGATGCAATTATCGATGTTATTTTTTTGTTTATTATATCTTTCCAAACAATAAAAATAAAAATAAGAAGATTTAAGTTAAAAAACTCAATATGATTTTTAGTTGAAATACACGGTGTAAATGCATTTCAGGCAAAGCAAATATGTGGAGAACATGGTGTTTGACAATTATCATTGGATATTTTTTTACGAAAAAATGTAACAAAATGCATAAGACAATATACATGTATTAATATTATGTGGATGGAATGTTACATATACTTCAAATAAGTATTCATAAAAGCAAAATTTTACAATAATGCTGAAAAGTAAACATAGATTAGATTAAAGTTTAAAATTTCTACAAAGGAAAGATACTATAATATTGCACTTGTTTGTAAAGTGCATTATTAAAAATCTCTCTATAATTATCTAATTTTGTTTGTTTAAGAATGATAATTATATGATATTTGTTATTATTTATTTTTCTTGTTTTTTAATATCTTTTTATGTTTATTATATAAAATAAAATGAATAAAATCATATTTTTAGTTTATATTAAAGATGAATTAATATATAAAATTAACTATATATATATATGTATAATATGTAACAAAAAAACTGGATATTTTAATTTTCTTCATAAATATTTATCTAAATAGCATAAAAATTTATATATATATACTTGAGAGTATAATAAACAACTTTATTTAAGACTACTTGAACACTTATTTTATAAAATTTTTTATAATTTATATTTTTAAAATTAAAAATTTTTAATAATAAGAAAACTTAAATAAATTATTATAAATAAATTTGATTATTATTTTGCAAATTAATCTTAAGTAAACTCATTTACTAGATTATCAAGTATATATATTTAAAATTTTATATAATTTAAATAAATATTACTTGAATAACAAACAAAAAAAGATTAAAAAAGTATTTTAAATTTTTTATAATCAATTTTTTCAAAAAAAAATTAATAAAAAAATATTAATTATAAAAAATCTTATTAAGATAAGCTATTAAATACTTTAAGTAAACTTTTTTATTAGATTATCAAGTACATATATTTAAAATTTTATGTAAATTAAATAAATATAACTAAAAATAAAATATTTGATTTTTTTTATTATATATATTATATAGTATGTGACAAAAAAACTTAACTATATTAAATTCATTATAAATTCATGAATATTGCATCAAATTTACTGATTAATATATCATTTAAAAGCAAAAAAGATATAGAATAAAATTTATTATACTTAAAAATTGATTTATTTATCTTTGCTTTCAATAACTAATTTATAATAATATTTTATTGAACTTATTAAATTATTTAAAATGATTTTTGAAATAGAATCTCATTTTTCTATCAAAAACTTCTTTAAAATATTCAAATTTTTAGATATTTATTTCTTAATATTACTCTTAATAATAATCTATAAATTTTTATAAAATTAAAATCAGTTTGAATAGTTTAGATATAGAATAAATATTTTTATTTTAATAATATAATAAGCTGTATATCTTTTATTTATAAGTAATTAATAATATTTTAATAATAAATTTTGCAAGAATTTATTTAATAAATATAGTAAATAAATCTATTATTTAATTTTAATTCAGTAAAAAATAGTATAAATTAAGCTAAAATTAAAGATATTTATTTATTATCTAATATAATCAGAAAATAGTTAGGTTTTTTTATTACACATTGTATATATATAAATGTATTTGTGAATATTAATAAAGTTATTCTAATTACTATTTTTAATATTAATATAGTATTAATATATTATTATGTATTCATTAATATCTCTACTTTAGAAGAATATTAACAAATTTTCAAGATTATTATTAAAATAATTAAAGACTATATTAGTTTACAAGTAAAAATTTGATATATTTATAGAGATAACTAGATATGTATAATGAGTAATCTGAATTTGGCACAAGCTCAAGAATTGGGAATGATATTATATAAACTTGATAATAATAAGATATAGAAAGATCATTTAATTTATATTTTCAAGACTTGTCAAGTTTATTACTGAGTATAAGTAATTAACTAATTATATTTACTAACATCTGATTATATTACTAATTTTCACTAGTCTAATAACTTATTATATTATTTTTAGCAATATTTAATAGTATTATTATTCAGAAAATCTCAAAAAATTAATAAATAATTTATTGTTAGCACTCACAGAAGGAGAAGTTAACATAATACTTAATTGTATATTGGAAATTAGAGGTATAGATCTGCAAGATAAACTAAATTCTTATTATATTATATTCTTATTACTACTAATTACTTTTGTTTATATAGGATAAATTAACTTTTATTCTAACTGATAGGTAAAAGCTTTCTTAAATTATGCTTGTTTACACATTTCTAAAATCTATTAGATTTCTTTAGAGAATATATCAAATATTATTGAGACTTGTTATTCTGATACTAATTAAGAAGAAAAATATTTAAAATTTCTAACAGTAATTTTTAGGTATATATTTATTTTATTTTAATATTTTTTTACTTTATACTAACAATTTCATAATTAAATTATTATTTGGAGGGATCAGTATTTAGATAATTGTTATTTTGTAGCTATAATAGCACAAGATTTCTTTGATATATTAAATGATATACAAAGAAAAAGTAAAGTTGATCATGTTATTTATATATATAAAAAAAGTGATATATTTCTTATATATTTATATATTTACTATTACTATTTCAGTATTATACTATTCTTATTTCTTTGTCATTACATTTTCTTTTCCTATAATTATTATTACTGCACCCTACATACTTCTCTCTATAATTATTGCTATCATTTTCTTCATATCAGATAACTTTCTATATACTTTCATCTACAATTACTGTTACTATTCTCTTTACACTTCTTAGTACTTTTATAATACTTACTTTTTATGATTGTTATTACTATACACATCTCATCAAGAAATGAGACATATTTCAGTATGATATGATTTATTTGAGTCATACTATTACCATAATAACATAAAATTCCTTAATTTCTTAATCTTTCTCTAGTTATAAAAAATTACATTTTATTATAATTTTATTTATATTATAATTATCACTATTTTCTATATCATTTATTACTATATTTATTATCATATTTCTATTTTTAATTTTTAACATTATATTTTATTTAATATTTAGGATTTATATTTTTATTATCTTGTAATATGATATTTACAGTATATATATAGTAGAATAGT